GGATTGTGCATCCTGTATTGTGGTCTTAAGGCCCGTTTAGACGATAATGCAATTTGCGCCAGTTGGCTTGCGCAAGTCACTTGGCCACAGCTTGTAAACCAGCACTGCCAATTTGTGGGGAATTCCCCAAAATGCGGGTAATGTGTGGGGAATTTCGGGGAATTGAGTTTTCACAAAATTTTGCTTCAAATGTTACAGAGCTTCTGTTTTTCTAATTCTGAACTTATTTTATTTAATAAGCGAAACTGCGTGTATGATACGCAAAGATTAATCTTCGGTGCGATAAGCTGATAAATCAAATTGGTTTTATTCATAAGCCTATGGTTTTATTTTATACCACGTGTTTGTGTGTAGGTACTTTGAATATACAAATTTCCAAAGTTCTGTTCCATATAACTAAGTGATGGATAAATGGCTAAATAAAGTTCCTCCTAAACACGAGGTAAAAGTAAAATTTTCAGTTTCAGTTTCAGTTATCTGTTTTTCAGCATATAATTAGAGGTCTTAAAAAAGAAGACTTGCTTAATGAATATTAATTTACTCAAAATTGCATATATTTATTATACAGGGTTTTATGTAATTAATGTAATATAATAAAATGGGTAGTTCATTAGGGTCCATAAAGAAGCACCTGAAACTTTTTTTTCTAAATTCTAAAGACTAAAAATAATTTATAATAACCTTTATCCTACCAAAAAGTACGTCACTGATCGATTAGGAACTTTAGGCTGATCTGGTTGCCTAATTTAATTTATTATGTTATGGTTGGCTTTCCAGATTCTGTCAAGAAAGTTGCCAAATTTTGTTTAAATTTAGCTTAATTACAAAAATGACAAAATGAACAATGCAAGTGGGTAATTTGGTGGTTTTATTATTTGTTTATTATGTCATTTTTGTAATGAAGGTAAATTCAAACAAAAAAACGTGTGACATCATTTATGGACGGCCCCTTATGCTTTTTAAATTATTATTTTATAATTTTTGTCGCGAAATATTTTGGCATTATTGAACCATTTGAATCCTCAATGAAATGTGTAGGTATGTTTTTGGTGGATTTTTATCAGATTTATCAAAACCTTATGCTGATTAGTGTTGAAATTATTTTTATTTATGGTGCACAAATTTATTACATTTGGGGCACCACCTTAATATAGTAAGGTATGTATATACAACATATGTTGTATGTATGTATATAGTAGCTGTGTAGCTGGATCAGAATGATCCAAAACAGTGAATTGGTAGAAGAGGACCAATTAAATGGCCTCCCAGATTTCCAGATCTGACACCATTAGACTTTGTCTTATGGAATCACTTAAAATCTACAATTCCACGACAAACATTTGTGGTCATACCCCCCACATATCCAAGAGAACGGTTTTGAAAAATGTTACAAAGTTTAGAGGAGCATTGATTTCTTAATATAAAAATACTTTTCAAAAATAAATGTCCGACCTGAATATTTTCTTTTTTCTATAATATTTCTATTTTTAAATTTATGTAAAAATATTAGTCATTTACAGTAAAATATTATTAATAATTATTAATGCAAAATAATTTATTTTTTACTTAACGATAGTAGTACCTATAACTGATAAGAAAGTTGTTTTTAAAGATATCTAGTAAAAGCAGTGTCGTGTAAAGTAAGTCAAAGAACGTTTTTAAAAACACAGTATTTTATTTAGCGGATGGTAATATGGTGGAACAAAATCCTTAATATTTACCAAATAAAAACTTTTTATGGAATTTATATTATTCGAACACGTAATAAAATTAACAGAACAATAAACCAATGCATTGTAAAAAATAATTTTATTTAATTATGTTTGCAAAACATTAAAATTTAACGACTTCGAATGTGTAACAAATTCGCATTGTTTCAAGTCAACGCTACTGTTTTAATTTTTTAAATAATGCACCTTATTTATGAAATAATTTGTGTATTATCGTATAGGATAGAGATAGGGCTTATCGAAAATAATGCAAAGGTATGTTCCATATACATACATTTTTTATGTGACTTTTATTGTCTTTTTCTTTTTTAACATAAAAGAGAAAGATGGAAAAATTACGATAAGAAGTCAGAAGGTAAGTTTTACCAACTTTACGTCATTTTTGAGTTCGATGTCGACTGGTTAACATCATACATAGAACAATTGGTAAGTACCTACATTTTCTGTTCAAGTGTTAGGTCTAGTTTATTACTTGTTAATGACATTGCTTTATATCCTTTAATAATTGTAATTATTACCATTTTAAAATTCAATTATTTTTACTCTAACATCGTTTCAAACAGTGTGCTTTAGAAGAGTTACGAATGTATGCTAGATTTCAAACATATTTAAAATTTTAACAAACACTTTACTTAAAAAACGCCGCAGAAAAAATCCAAAGTACTTAAATCGTAACTTTTCGCTGGCCAAAGTCTTTGTTTCGCTTGCGGTTTGGCGAACGCGACATTCATAAAGCACTTCTTAATTTTAAAGAATTTCATTGGGATAAAGTTTTTTTAGTTCAAACTTTTATTAACACCACAAAGTATGGAAAAACTCATTTCAAGAGTTTGATAGATAAATAACAGTAGGCCGTGAAGCAAATTGCCAATGTAATAAAAATAAAACGTATTTTAATTAACAAATTAATACTTTATTACGAAATTAAGGTATCATTAAAAACTAAAAACAACATACAAAGGAAATAAGTAACAATATAAATTGTTAATTTGTTGTTATAAAGGCAAAATTAAGGTTTAAAACTGTCATATTTTTGTGTTTCTTAAGTTGTCAGCACGATATTTGAAATGACAATTTTAAAAAGTGCTAAAAAAATGTTTTTTGTAGATCGTAAGATACAAAGAAAAAATGGGGTTTGAAAACAAATGTGTCAGACGCCTCGCAAAATCACATATTACATTTTGAAGATAGAATTCGGGGACACCCTGTATAAGGCTTTGTTTAATGCTCCTATCAAAACAGATAAGACAGCATAGTTATAACTATTATTTGCATGTTTATCTTTTTCGAATAAATTACCTACTTACCTGTGTTTTCATTAGACAAATAACCAATTAGTGTAGTGCCACAATATTACAGAATATATTACATATCAATCAGAACCATCGAAATGAGTTTTTATTGACTTGATCTATGCGAATAGATTGTTTTTTAACGAATTTGTTCGTGTGGCTCGAGTTACAAAAAACTGACAACGTCTCCATGACAGCATCAACATCTCCTTGACAACCGACGCTGTATCCTAGCAACTGGACTACTTACCATGGCAACGACGTTGTTTATCATAGCAACCGATAGGTAGAGTGATTTTTAAGGTGTTGATAAAATAAAATCAGCATTTGCATTAAAAATTTATTGTTAAATACTGTACATACACTGTATAACATACGTAATGGCACATTGTTTATAAAAAATATGAGCGCATGTTTGCCACAATGAAAATAATTATAAATAATAAAGGAAGACTTTTAAAGTAAATGAAAATCGAACGAAAATTTACATTTTTTAATCCTAAATATAATAATATACAATATTTTACAAAATCATATGGGAAAATTAAAGGAATATGGCTCATTTTAATAATTTAAATTTATATATCTAAGTTTAGTGAGTTTATTAATTATGATTGAATTATTTTTCTTTATTTAATTAATACTTGGTTGACATATCAAGATTATTTTTTAGTTTATAAACTATAGTAAGTAAGTAGGTAAAATTATAATGTTTCTTGATATGCCAGAAATTTTTACATTGATGATATGATATTCAACGAAAAATTACATCTTTTTAAAAACAGTTTTGAATCGTTTTATCTCGTTTCTAATTGGTCGGTTAAAAAGTTTTTGTCTTAAAACATTTGTCCGACCAATAGGAAACTAGATAAAACGATTATTTTTTTCTTTCAAAAAATTGGCGCCCGAGAAGGGAACAAGCCAGAAATACCATATCCAAAACTGTTTTTTTCTGAAATAAGTACAATTCTACCTCTACTTTATACAATCACTTTATTTATACATATTTTACTGATATGTGTTTATACAAAAACCTTTTTTTAAGTAGTAACGGTTACCAAAAATACCAGACATATTTTTGCAAAAAAAATGTTTCACAGACATTTTTTACAATATTCTCTTAAGGTTTAAGTTAAAACTACTTATTCGCTTACTATTTAGGATACAAAATGGACGATTGATACTCTTAATAATCCACTTTATAATTAATTAATTAATTAAAAACTATATACAATTTCGATACTCATTAGTGCCACAATTACAAAGAAAAAATCACCAAAAACAACATGGCTGTCTATGACTAGAAATCACATGTTTTATTATTATTATTAACTAAATGTGACGTTTCAAGATGGCTTCTAACCTTACTTTTTCGATTAAGGGGCCTTTCGGTAGCGACGCAAAGTCCCCTTAAGAAATTAATTAGGCTTTACTTTTATTCAGTCTTACTATATTTCTAGAAACACTTATATTTATATTTGTGGGGCGAATTTATGCAGTAAAACAGTTATTTTATTATAATATTTTGCTATTGCGTATTACGTATATTTCTTTCAGTTTTATTTTTTTCTTAATCAGGTTTGTTCGCTTATAAGTTTGTTTGTTTATGGAACTATCGTATTTATCACTATATTGTGTTATTATTTTTATTATTATTGTTATTAATAATAATGAACAATTTATACACGGTGGTTTTTGTTGTTATCACTATATTCGGTGATGTGGGGTGGAATCGGAAAGATACAACTTCCGGTTTGAAAATTGTTCATAAATTGATTTTATGGCGATTAAGTTGTCAAAGTTATCAAAATTTGTAAAATACTTTTCAGAAATCAGGAAAGTTAAGAAATTGATTATTCCTTAGGTATTTCCATAAAAAATTATTATTAATTAAAAATTAAATACTAAAAATAAATTACAAAAAATTTTAGAATGTCAAAAAATTAAATAATTTAATTATTAAGGTTTTAAAAGGTTTCTGAGTATTATAATTTTTTTTAAGTAGCCGAAATTTGGTTAGGTTGTTTACAAATAATAATAATTGCTACTGCAAAATATTTAGATAAAAATATGTCAAAAGTACCAAGTTTAGGTTCAAAAATTGTTCGCAAAATGATTAATGATTATTAACGAACTTCCGGGAAAGCCGGAAGTTAGCAAAAAGTCGCCAAATTGTGTAAAACATTTAAAAAATTCTTACTCACATATTTCCGCATTTTCCACTTCCACCCCTTCAAAAACCAAATTTACCAATCATGTCTCGTTATTTTTAGGCCGTAAAACCTTATTAGTACCTCGACACATTTCACAAGGGATTCCCCCCCTCGCTCCTCGTGGACGCGTAGTGCTTGTTCTGCATCTGGGGGGTGAAACTCGAAAGGGGGGGCACACCGTTGCCGTTCCGCCAAGACATGCCGGGGGGGCCCACCCTGGCGTAAACCGGCTGATTGGGGGACACCAGATCCGGCGGATTGGAGTCCTGAGAGTTCTTACGAGATGATTTTTTCGGCTTCCGGAGCGTGTCGTTGGGGGCGGAGTACGAGTCCGAGTACACTTTGCGGTTGTAGTAGCCGCCGTTGTAGGACGGGTACGGCGACTCGTCCGACGAGTCGTTGGAGTGCGACGACCAGTTCTAAATATCGTTAAATATTTTTTATTCCCATAAAAATTTGAGAAAAACTACCAATGGTACAAAAGTATGGCAAAAAATGACTACTTCCGGTTTTAACGTATCAAGCGAAAAAGACAAACTTCCGGTTTAGCCGGAAGTTGTCAAATGATCAGAAAAAAAGCAGAATTAAGTAAAAACGACGAATTTTTTTTATAAAAATGTAATTATTTTCTTACCATTGAATTCCCAAACTTCCTTCCGCCAGTTACGAGCGTCGTTGTTGCATACGGAGCAGGGGAGCACGCCCCACTGCTATCCTGCTGTATCAAAGTACTGTCCACTTCCGCGTACTCGGCATTCTGCGAGTTCCGGTTACTATCCGAACCCAAATTCGGACTTGCATACTCTTGAACCTAAAAAGTAATAAAACCATGCCAAAAAATACTACTTCCGGTTTCAAAATGTCAACGTCCGGTTTCAAAATTGCCCGCAGAATAATTTAATTGATTGAGATAAACTTCCGGTTTACCCGGAAGCGTTGAAAATCGCCTACTCACCTGTATGCCGGGGTAATCCTTGTACTTCCGCATCGGGAAGCTCTTCTCGGACGTGTACTCCAAATCGTTGGGGCGGCTGTATTCGTTTGGGTGCATGGGGTTGTTGTGCAAATTGACGCTGTTATTCGCCGGACTTCCGTTGTTGATGTAATCGCGGTACTCGTGCGGGTTCAACTTGGAGTACTCCGGAAGCGTTGTCGCGTACTCCGGAAGTGTTTCCTTGTCTAGCCACAGAGGCGCTTCGTGTTTCGAGGCTAGCGGAGTGGACAGAACTCTTCCGTTCGATCTGCTTGGCGTCATTGTTTTCTTCGAGAGCATTTGGCGTCTTCTGACAAACAGCATAGCGCCGAACAGGACCACCATGACGGAAACCATGCTGATCAGCAGAGCCATGAACCACGTTTCCGTTATGAAGTCGCTGGATTGCATGTCGGCATCGACGGGTCTTTGGTTGTTGTTATCTGCAGTTCTGCTGGCAGGATCCAATCTGAGCGTAGCCGCAGGACTGAAAGGCCCCAGTCCCGCTCTTGTGCTGGCCGCAACGCGTACGAAATACGATATACCGGAAGTTAAATTCGTTAGGAGCAGCGATGGAGTGGGACCGACACTTATAGCTTCCAACGTTTCGGAATTGTTCGTTTTCACTTCAACTTTGAAGCCTTGCAGCTCTCCGTTCAGTGAGACCGGAAGTGGTGACTTCCATTTCAGGTGTACCGCTGTGGAGTTGAGGAGTCTCGCTTCCATGTTCGTTGGAGGTTCTTTGGGAACTAAAATAAAAAAATCATTATTATGATATGATAAATCCTGTGTGTTTGGTACTTACCATCCTCCAAAGTCCTTGCTGTTCTCGAGTTGGATGGTTGCCCTTCAACAGACTTATAGAAAGGCACGATGAAGAACTCATATTTAGACCACTTCTCAAGATTGTTGACCACAAAAGTTGTAGAATCTCCGGTGTGTAAGACGGTCAACATACTGTAAGTCCTTGGTGGCGAATCCAAATTATTATTATCAACAGCAACGTAGTAAATATACAGCCCCTCGACAAATAGATTGTCTAAGACGTCCCATACAAGCTTTATCGCTGTGGATGAAGTCGGTATGGCATCTAGCAGCTTAACCACGTTGCTGGACACTAAATTTGCCCGCGCTTCGGATAATATGGTGACCTCAGGATTGCCCCAATTTTGAGCCGTGTCCGGCCCGACAATAACCGGTTCTGACAGTTGCGATGGCGGTCCCAATCCGTGCGTATTCTCAGCGCGCACGATGAAGGTGTACGGTACGTTGGGCGTGAGGAGGTGTTGCGTGTAAGTCTGCCCAGTCACTCTTCGAGCTACTGTGGTCCATGTCGGCGTGACACCTTCCTCCCGACCGAAGAGTTCCACCTGGTAGCCCAAAAGGCTGGAAGAGCCGATTTTGTTGTTCTGGCCCCACGTTATGGTGACCGAACCTTCGGATTGGTTCAGAGCATGTGGTCTTGACGGTGGGCCGGGTAGCATTATGGATTCCGGCGCCTTGAAGAGGTTTATGTTCGGATTTTTGGGGTTTTCCACCAGGAGGTTACCGGTCCACGTGGCCTTACCACCGCGGGAGGAAGCCACGCACGTGTAAGACCCCGAATCCTCCTTCCGAAGATTGTAGATTTCGATGTGGCTCGGGTTCGTCATGTTGATTCTATCGCTGGCGCTCACTGGGATGCCTTCTTTGTACCACGATATAACCGGCTTCGGGTTACCGTTGGCTTCGCAAGTTAAATACGCTACCGAGTGTATCGGTAAGGATTGATTCGACGGGCCTCTTATTATCACCGGCGGGGGGCGATCTTCTTTGGAGGTCACGGTAAGTCTGGTGCGCGTGGAGACCGAACCCGCCGCGTTAACGGCCGAGCAAATGATCACGGTGCCGGAATGTTGCACCTGCGCGTTTTTCAGGATCAACGTGGAGTGCCCTTCTAGCGATGTGAAAGCCTCGAAGTTTCCCGAGGAGGATCCTGGATAAACCAACGCTCTATCGCCTTCGAACGACCAAAATATGAAGGGTTGAGGGCTGCCCTGAGCGTTGCACTGAAACGTGACCTCTTGCCCTTGCTCGATGGTCTGCGCGCTGGGGCGTACGTTGAAAAGGGGCGCCACGTGCACCGTCAACATCCCGGACGCCGACACGACGCCAGCGGAGTTGTCAGCTTCGCACGTGTAGACGCCTTGGTCCATGAGGGTGATGCGTTCGAGTTTTAACGTTCGGTCTTCGAGGACGCGGACTCTGCCCAAAGGCATCGTGCCTCCAGGGGCGTTCCGACGCCACAGCACGTCGGGCACGGGGTCACCGCCGACCCCGCAAGCGAATTCTACTGTGGAGCCGGCTAGGGCTGTTACGTCCTGCGGCGAGCGTACCATGTATGGTTTTACTGGGAAAAAGGAAAAAATGTAATTTTTCAAACATCAATAACTTTATAAACATTAGAAATATTCCCCAAAACCAAACACAAAGTGCTTAAATTACTTTTCGCCAACGATGTTGGCATCTACAGAAGCGAAGTGTAACTTAATTCCTTCGGAGGGGACGCAGTCCATTCCTACCCCTAACCCGCTCAAGCCATTCAGTTGGCTTCTGGGACTTCTTAGGAAGTAAGGGCGGAACTAAAAGAGCACTTTTGTATACAAGGTAGTTATACAATATCGAAGTTATGTTCAAAGAGCACTTGGCTCATGCTAGATTTGGTAGGACAGAGAAATCGAGTGTTGCCCAACTTATTCCTGATGATGGTCATGGAATAGGATTTGAACTTATTAAGGAAGTTAGGGAACCAAGTCTGCTAGATATATCTATATATAACTATAGTTATGAAAGTTTATACATCTATAAGAATAATTATAAATATTTAAATAGCGATAACGGACCGGTACCCTAGTTTGTATAAATTAGTTTGTTAGTTTCTCCTTAAGTGTTCACTGAAGCGGTTACGGTCAAGGGTTTAGTAAACTGTGTCCGTTTACGGTTCAGTCAACCTTAGCTTATAATCAGAGCTGCAAGCTTTCAGAAAACTTAAATCGTTTTTTTGATTTAAATCGTTTTAATGACTTAAGTCATTTGGTAATAAGTCATTTCTCTAAAACTGACTTAAGACTTAAAATTTAAGTAATTTTCAAAATGATTTGAGACTTAAATATTTTTTTCAAAATAGAAGTATATACGATTTAAGTCATATAGAAACGATTTAAGTCAAAAAAAGATTTAAATCTTTATAAAAGTCGGTAAATTATTTAAGTAATTTAAAAAAGATTTAAGCCTTTTTAGAAAATATTTAATTCAGATTTTTCATATATTTTTTTACAAATTTTTAACAGCGGCATTTTCTTTTGAACTGCCAGGGGTTCACGCGGCAGCAGATCAGAAACTCCTTTAATTTCCTACCTACAATTGCTACCGCTAGTGAATAAAGTAAAGTTAGCTTTTCGGAACCGTTTGACGGCTACATTAAAAAATGTCCTATCTAAAATAAATGAAAAAAAAAATGGGGATTTTTAATTTTGTTATTTTATTTGCCAACATTCGTCGTGTTATGCGTGCGTAGTTAGGTCTAATTTGTAATTATTAGTGCAAAGTGGAAACAAACGATTAACAGGTAAGGACGAATAAATATTATAAAGACGTGTTTATATCATACAGGGTGTTTCGGTTTGTTTAAGTAAATAATTAATTGAATCGAGAGTTTGGAATCTCCCATCATTACTCCCTTAAGGGAGGAATATTTTTTTTCTAGATGGATGTTGAACCAGCTAACAAAAGTTAACAAAACAAAAAGTTATCAGTTTTTAAAATACAGCGATTTTAGAAAAATGCTTAAACTTTTATCTATTTTAACAGAGTTTGAATCTTTTACCGTTTATAAGTTACCCATTTATGTATATAAAAAAGTAGCCTCCCTGTATGTAATCTACTAAAAAAGGTGGTTTAAGTTTTTATTTTGATTGTCTTCTATATACTCAAAAAATGTGTTTTAAGTTTTTATTTTGTTTGTAAGTGTTCTGAAAAAAAAATCGTTTTAAATTCTTAACATAGTGGTTTATTATCATCAGTATCTACAATAGATTAATAATATCAGTATCATTAATACCATAAAATTATTAACATTTAAAAAATCGTTGTATTGACTTAAGGGTAATTATTTTGATTTAAATCACAATTTTTGATTCGTCATTTTATTAACTTAACTCTTGGATCACGATTTAAATAAAAAATATAGACTTAAGTCATAAAAACGACTTACTAAAGGAATTAAGTCATAAGATGACTTAAATCACTTTATATTGATTTAAAAATTTGCGAAAATGACTTGACTTGAAAGAAAATGATTTAATTCAAAGACTTAATACTTAAATCATTTGAACTTTATCTTAGAATTGACTTAAGATTTAAATGATTTTGATTTTAGAATTGACTTAAGACTTAAGATTTAAGTCTTTTTAAAACTGACTTGTTGCAGCTCTGCTTATAATTAGTATAAATATGGTAAATTTATATATTAGATTTCGTTACAATTAGCTTCTGAAGATGCCAACATAGTTGGCGAAAAGTACTTTAAGCACTTGGTGTTTTGTTTAGGTGTTGTCCTTTTTCAAGTGTCAATAACTTTAAATATCTTACCGTATACTTTCAATATAGCAATCGTACTCTCTCTAACCCCAGCCGTATTTTTAGCAATACACTGGTACCGTCCCTGATCGCTGGGTTTCGTATCGGTGATGGCCAAATTTGAACCATCAACCAGCTTAAGTCTTTTCTCTATTGTCAACGGTTGGCCATCCTTCTTCCAGTACACCACCGGCTCGGGAGTTCCCTTGGGTGGGGAACACTCCAAAACGATGTCTTCACCGGCAGCCGCCTGAGAACTCTGAGGCTCGAAACGGAATTCTTCACGGAGAACTGCAAAAAAATATATATTTGAGTTACGTGTATTTAATTTCTATATTCTACGACATCTAAATGAGTACTCATCGGGTAACATTTAAAGGTTGCCCATTAACGTATATATTAGTAAAATTAATAATGAATCACTAAAATCACAAGTTTGTTTTTAAGGGTAACTTTTTGCTTCAAAGTTGCATTTGTTAAAAAAAATCAATGTTCTTTTTCGCATGTTTGATCAGGACCATATGTCAATTTGAATGTCATGGTCATATTTAAAAAAACGTCAAGCTAGCAAAACCAATGCTTTTAACAAGAAAACTGGGCTTTGAAAGCTATTGCTAACGGTTGTTTGTTTATTTGTAAAATTCGTTAAAGAAACGTGATGGACATTAAAGAAGAGAAAATATTCGTGCGTAAGCGGCCGCATTAAGTTCAAATATATTGCCAGAAAATACCAAAGATCGCTGCAGATACAGACGGGTAGAGAAGCAGACGTGCTCTCGAACGAATTTGATCGCTCATAATAATAATAAGTCTTAAAGAAACATAAAAATCTTTCATACAGTGTAGTTTAAGAAAAATACTGTGCGAAATTAGTGCAAAGATTTACTACCTGGACAAGTAAAATCAGTATACCTGTTGTTAATAGAAACATTAAATTAGTGCATTAAAAAGCAACCCTCAATAAGTGAATAAAGTGAATAAAGACCATACGGACATGAAAGTAATTAAGTGATAAGTGACAGCATACCTGGAGATCTAACCCCAGGCCAATATGAATCACCCTAAGTAAAGAACAAACGAGTCTAACCAAGAGTGGAAGGGGTCATTATTTGCAAAAATCTGATAAGTACTAATTACCTAACACAAAATTCGCCACAAAAACCTTACAATAATCAATCATTATTACTGAAAACAGCGTAACAGTGTAAATAAACCAATCATTAGGAAATAACGTCTCAAAACATAAATAAGCTTAAACTTAAGAGGCCAGCTCCAACAAAATTAAAACGTTTAAAACTTAACGAACAAACCTAAAATAAACAACCAGTTCCGATATTTGCATACCAAAATCATAATAAACTACCTCTACATTTTAGGCATCGAACAAAATAATAGCCTGCTGCGAGCCGTATAAGAGAATTACAAATAAAAACAAAGTTAAAAGAAATTATATAAAATAAATGATATAAATGCAACTTCTAATTGTTAGAAAAAAGAAAAGAAAACTTAAATACAATTTCTACCAAAAAATGAAGACAACTATCTATCGATAGTTCTCGACCTCTACACTGAAGAAACGACTTTTGCACATACTACAAGACCAGCAAGGATAGGTCCTAGCAGCGTACTAACCAACCAAACCTCATTCATGAACCCCAAATAAATGGGGGCATTACTAAATCCCTGGTTGAGGGGGATTCCGGATTGTACTTAGTTTTTGGTCAGTCCAATGTTTTCCCTCCTTGTCGAGTTGTGTTCTGTGTAGGAAAATGCCGCACTACGACCCTTCAATTTTGAAGAATCAGTTACCAAGAAACTTAAATTTCTTTAACATTATCCTCAAGTAATACCGTGGAAAGAAAAATAGCAGAAACTGTGGATGAAAAACATCACAACAAAGAAATTGTTCTTTCTAATATCAACAACTGCGTAATTCACTACAACACATGCTCTCATTGTACCTTAAGTAATAATTGTGTATTGTGTGCGTTCTGATGTAAAATGATGGATGAATATTATTACATAATCATATACAAAAATGACCTTCGTTGAAGCAACATACATTTCCTTCATACAATTATGCATCACCATTGTGCACATGCATTATAATATTAGATCCTAAGTACTAGTGGTTAAATGGACCTTTTATCCCAAACAGATTAAACACGCACCCCTTAAAACTTGAAAATCAAAATTCGTTTAATAGGATTTATCTAAAAACTATGGCGCGTGTAGTCAAGTTTTGATGTAAATTCACCTTTTGGGGAGCGAAGGAACGCGTGTAAAATCAACCGCGATAATGGTAAAGTTTCGGAGAGCCTTCAGGGAACTGAAGGCAAAAGTGCAAAGTTTAATTCCCATTCGAGAAATATTATTGTTGTTCAGCGATAACTTTTGTGTAGCCTCTTATCTTTTTGGCTAAGAGCGTTTAAGGCGCTTTTTAAGTATCTGATGGTAAGTTTTTGTGGCTTAATTAGGGGGAAGTTATGCCTAAACATGACCCGAATTTTTGTTAATCTTCTCGTGCCATTTCTATAAATACCAGAACAGTAAGATAGAAAACTGATTGATTGCATTTCCCTTATTAATTTATATTAAACAATGTCCAAATCCGTTAGCCCAATCGTAATCGAATTCAAAATCAATCTAAGAAGGAATTCCTTCTTCCCGAAACGAGATCTCATCGCCACATTTTCAGCCAATAATCCACACCAGAACACGATTGATTTCTATTTAATTAAGGGATGAAGGTTTTAAAAACTCGTTAACGAGCGAAAGCTTCGGGCCGCAAAAGCGTAATCAAACATCGGTTAAATGGAATTAAAGCCAATCGGCCAAAATCATTTTCTTTCGCTTTTTTATTTACGACTACCATCGATCTTACAAGCCCAGAATTAACGCTCGATAGAAAGATATTGAGGCGTCCTAAAGAAAATGTATTTATGGCATCTTATACGTTCTATTTTATTAAATAAACCCCTAAAATTTAGTTTAAGCCTTAGCATTATTGAACTACAAGGTAGTTACGTTAGTGTACGTATTTTATCTAAGTGATTGTGTTTTAATTGTAAATGTTTTCCAGAACTAAATCGTTACATTTTCATGTTTTGCCAAAGGATCCAATTCGGTACGTATATTTGTTGGTGCAGAATTAACTATTGATAACTTTACCTAATATAATTTATATTTAAGTTTGGAATTAACTATTGATAACTTTACCTAATATAATTTATATTTAAGTTTGGTTAGAAATCCAACAAAAAATAATAGTTGTACAAACATAATCTTAAAATCCAACATTTTTATGTTTGAGTCCTCTAAAAAAACACCGACAACTGCATTTTAAAATAGTAACGACAAAATATAACTACACGGAGAAAAAAATATAATAAATGATATTAGAAATATAATACTATTTATTATAATTTACGTTAAATATAGTGACAGCTAAATCGTATGATAAATTTTAATATAAAAATATAATTAAGATATATTGTAAATATAATAATATTTTATATTAAACCGCTTTAACATATTACTTTATTTGTATTAAATATTAAGTTAAAAGTGTAAAATTAATAAATGATATAATATTACTTAATCAACCATATCATAACTTCAATCATATGACGATTATAATATTTTTATTATACTTATTAAGATCCGGTTTTTTAACTTATAAAATAATTTAATTTACTTTCTATTATACAAATTTTAATATACGTTTTTTAACATACATTTTTCTCCGTGTACGAATTCATGGCAATATAATATTATATCTATATAATACATAAAATAATACCCGTTTTTGGTCTTTTACCGTTGAGTGGAGACTTTCTCAACCAACGCTTTTAATAATGCTGTTTCAATTTAGACGACTTATTTGTTTTATGATTGTTATTGAATTACAATGTTTATAATTTTCGTAAATTATTGCAAAAATGTGTATTTATTGTATCTAATAGGAACAATTTATATTTACGATAAAGTTAACACGTTTATCGACCATAAAGGATGTGAACCAAGCTATAATTGTCACTTCATGTAATTTACAAACTACTTGATGATTCCACAAACACCTTTATTTAATTAATTCCTTCCCAAAAAAAATATTTAATTTAAATGTATTTTTTGTTAATGATGGATAAAAATTCATAGGGCACAGTGGTGTTTAGTGTTGAATATTAAAAAGGGCCACACAAAAAAGTAGGTATACAAGTTTAAAAATAAATAATATGCGGATTTCACTGTGAATGTACAAAATATTTAAAACTTTTATTTTTTGGACCACCCTATCTATGCAAAAGTAATAAACCCCATTTTGTGTTGAAACAGCACCATGCTGTTCGGAGAGGAAATGGAGATAGTTAGAGAAAACGGTTGCGCCGAATTGAGAGATGTATCAATCAGAAATTTTCATTTCCCTTTTTCCTAGCTTTACATTCCCCCCACACATTGACGTATTTCGATTCGGAATATACGTTTAGAATTCCAAATCTGTTTAACGTTATTTAATTTAAAAATAAGTAGAAATTTAATGAAATTTATAGAGGAACGCCTGTTCTTTTCATTGAAAGCCAAGAATTTTTGGATGTTTTATTTGTTCGATTTTTAATATATTTCTTATTGTTTTTTTTTAAGGTAAAAATGGTTATATGTCATATATAAAAATTGGTGGAATGAGCTATATATACCAAATATAACATGTAAATCTATATACAGATAATTTATAGAGCAATTCCCTCCCCTAAAGACGGATCGAGATTTTTTTAGTCTCCACTCAACGGTAAAATACTAAAAACGGGTATCATATATAATATTATGTTGTCATGAATTCGTAGATATATTTTGTTGTTTACTATTTTAAAATGCAGTTGTCGGCGTTTTTTTCGAGGACTCAAATGTTCAAATATTTGATTATAAGGTTATGTTTGTACAACTACTATTTTTTGTTAGATTTCTTAAAAATGTCCATCTTAAATATAAATTATATTGTGTTAATTTGTAATTAGTTAATTTTGCACCTACAAATATACTTACCGATTTGGATGCTTTACAATTAAAAACACAATAATTTACCATAATCACTAATGTAACTATACAAGCATATAAGCGGTGAGTTTTTTAATAAATGATATAAGCAACGCGAAACACAAATAACGTGCGCGATTTAGCTGTGCAATTGAAACTTTGCGAACAAGATTTGTCGAGTAAGACTCTCTTTTGTGAAAAAAAACTTAACTATTTATTTAAAAATGCAAAAACCAGATACTTTTTTAGTATATAAATCA